TGTAAATCTTGTACAGCAAAGAAAAATCGATCTCTACAATTGTCTGATCTTGTGCAATAAATTGAAGAAGTAAGAGACTAAGAGGGAAGTAGTCGAGCAAGAGACTAAGAGGGAGTCAAAGATGTAAGAGACTAAAAGGGAGTCAAAGATGCAAAAGACTAAAGGGGAGCAAACTGCAAAGAGCAAAAAAAGGGCACGGCAAGATGCAAGAGACTGAGAGAGAGCAAAGAGCAGAAAGAGGGCACGACGTGAGTAGGGTGGGTTAGAAAAAGTGAGTTAAATTTAGAGTTTTTTAGGAGAATATACATATTTACCCTTAGTTATTATAAGATTGGTTAATTCGGTTAATTCGATTATCAATTTTAAAAATCGATAATCGATCAATTTAACCAATTTAATCAATTATAAAACTGACTATAATCGAAAACTGACTAAACTGAATCAAAATGACCATATTTCATTAATTTCAGTTAGTTAAATCGATTTGAACCAATATCTGCTCACCCCTAGAGACTTCAAGTGCGAAGGAGTTGGGTATATAAATTTTTAGTGTCTAAATCTCAAGATAGTTATGTTGGTTAAAAATGAAGATCTTGAATATGTTGATAGAGAACCTATTAAAGTACCCCAGGATCTTGAAGAAGATATTAAGGAGACCTATAGTGATCTTGAATCTTTACTTATTATATAATACAGCTTGAGTGATGTGCATGTAGAGAAAAGAGACTAGTTACATAAGAATAAATTTCACACTAAAAGCACAGCTCATAATAAGGTATGTGATGTTATAATTGATAGTGAAAGTTTTTAAAATGTTATTTCTACTTTTATGATGTAAAAATTAAGCCTTAAAATAGTGGATCACCCTCAACCATATAAGTTGTCTTAGCTATAAAAAGAGAATGAAATCAAGGTTAGCAAAAGGTGTTTAGATCATTTTTTTATAGGAAAGAATATCAAGCAGTGGGATCTTGTTTTACTTCAAATAGAGTTTGTCTACAACCGTTCACCAAACCAAACCACTAGTTGCAACCCTTTTGAGGTTGTATATGGTAAGAATCCAATCAGTCCTCTAGATTTAATTCCTTTCCCTACTAATCAACAATTTAGTGGAGATGCAGAAGAAATGACTAAAGGTATTAAACGATTGCATGAACAAGTTAGAATTAGAAATTTTGCAAAAAAATGAAAAATATAAAAAGACAATAATCATGCATTGAAGACATGTGAAGTTTAAAGAACATGATTGGGTGTGGATTAACTTGCGCAAAAAGAGATTTCCTCTAAGGAAGTTTGGCAAATTACAACCTAAGGCAAATGGTCCATTTAGAGTTCTCAACGCATTAGGGAAAATGCCTATAAGATAGAGCTTCTCAACCTTATGGAGTGTTTTTCACCTTCAATGTTATTGATTTGTTACCCTACCATGAAAAGAATACTAGTTTAGACTTGAGGATAATCTGTTTCAACCAGAGGAGATTGATACCAGAGTGTCTGTACAAAATATAACTTGGGCTAAGACTAAGGCAGACTTATTCAAAAATAAGATGGGCCTATCCTTAGTCCAAATCCACTAAATAAATACATAAATAAGGTGGGCTGGAATATGGAGATTGCGTTCACACTAGCTGAAAAAGAAGAGCATGAATATTGATAGGATTGTAGTCAGGTTCATTATCATGTAATTACAGGAATAAATGGGCAAATTATGTTCACATGCAAAATCTCATGATTTTAGGCATGATTTTAGCAATGTAATATGAAAGTTTTCATGCTTAGAGGGATGTTTCTAGCCTATATGTTTTTTATTATTCTTTGGTAGAAGGCAGAATAGAGTTTTCTTTATCCTTAAGCAATATGTTAGATTGTTCTTCAAGTTCTGTATCTTTTAGGTGAATTTTTTAGAGTGGTAAACTTTAATTATTCTGTATCATTGATTAGAATTCTTAGGGTAGTATTTATGTATCCCTTAATTTCTAGTCTTGGTGGTGAACATTTATTCCTTTTAATCCAATAATCATATTCTGCCATTATTCAAATTCTTGTAAGTTATCTTTTTTGTGAGTTTTTCTACTTACAGTTAATCTCCGTATCTCAAACATCAATTCCCAACATCACAAGTAGAGAATAAACCTAGAGTGGCTGCAGTTCTAAGGTTTTCTATGAGGAATATTCACCATGTTTGGTAAAAAATGGTGATTAGGATTCCTCTTTATCAAATCTGTAATTGTCAAACAAGCAAGCATTATGCTATTTGGAGTTGACTGCGTTTGTCAGGCAAGCAATAGAGACACCCACATACCATAGTCAGAGGGTTTTACCCTGCAAATGGCTCATAAACCCTTTAATTGAATATATTCTATCAGTGGCCTGTAACTTGAAAATACATACGATTTAGGTGGTTGATTTTTTTTTTTTTTGATAATTGAAGTTATGAGAGATGAAATCTTGATCACTAAATTAAAAATTCATCATTCAACCAATAGATTACACTATTGTTGGCAAATTAAGTGGTTGATTCGTATCTTATATCATTTCAAAAATTTGTCTCTTGTGAAATCCAAATGTAACTTAATTGCTGATCATACTTTTCATCTGAAAAGGCAGCGTTCTAGACTTAATTAATTCTTTTGATCTTTTCGAATCATGTTTTAGTTGCCCTAAAGCTGATTTTGAGCAACTTGAACTTCCTATGTTCCATTACGACATTTGTTATAGGTTTGAGGGAATGTTCAACGTAAAGCAAAACCCATGTTCATGAATGAAGCCAAGGTGGGATACTGGAAGAAATTGAATATATTAGAAGTAGTAATTGTTCTTTAAAAAAAAAAAAAAAAGATCCCATGTATATGAATAAAGCCAAGATCGGTTAGGAATTAGGATGGTGAATTCTTGTAGATCAACTCAATTGCCATTGCTAATGCCTCTTGGCACGCCAAAAAGTCCATGCCTTAGGAATCTTGCCAATGCCAACATTGAATCCTTTACGCAGGTCAAAATAATGCAGCTCATCACATCACATTTATTAAAAACTAGATTAACAGGTTCCATTTTTTTCAGGTGCTCAACTCCAATGTGTATGCTACCCAGCGTCGGTCCGCCGCAAACAATATTCGAGTTAAACATTCAAAAAGAACATTCTCTTTTTCTATATTTTAGTTTTAACCATACCTTAATGTTTTCCATACGCGTCAAGTTATACAAGACATCGGAGTTTGACTGAAAACTTCAGGTTCTGTTCTGTATATGCATATGTCAGGCCTTGAGGTGCAAGGAAAGGAAGGCCAAGGTCAAGTCACATTCGGAATATACATAGAAAGAATAACTGGAAAGAACATTTGAGAGCAAAGGGCGGCAATTGAGTCTTCAAATGACTTTTGAATTATTGCAGAAAAAGGGAATAAACATGCCAAAAAAAAAGGAATTTTGCAATGGATGTGTACATCATAAAGAATAAATTCCAAATGCGAAAAAAATAAAATCTTTTAATGTTTCGTAATCTTTTTTTACTGTCCCAAACTTCACCGGCACTGCATAAGCCTACCGAAGGAAGGTATATCTGGCTAGTTGGATTAATCCTCCAACCTTCAATCTGGCAGTTGACGTGTCCGTCCACGTCAGCTTTGGATATGGAAGGAGCAATTCTTGCAAGCCTGAAGTGTCTATACACGTGGACTTACGCATTAGCTTTGCACGTGGAGGAGCAATCCTGGTGACTTTTGAGTAAAATGAAGCTCTTCTGGTGCCATGGTGCCATGGTACCATGGTGGGGAGGACAAGTTAGGTGAAATGAACCACTATACCTTAGAACTGGTTGAATTTTGTTAGACTCTTTGTACTTATTGAAAGGGCTAGTGTTTAACCTATTAACAAGTTCCAATATCATAATTCTTACATAATTTTGTTCTTTAATGTATGTTCTTCTGCAATAATTCGAGGACTAAACCAGATTATTTGATTCCAAGTATATTAAGTACTTCCTGCAGTTGTTTATTTTTCGGTCAATAAGTACTTCCTTTAGTTTAAGAAGTGAATATCATCATTTGCAAGAAAACTTATATGGACAGTTCAAATTATTAGGAGATAAAGGGTTATGGACAATTCAAGATCGATTCAAACCTAAGCTTAGCTTAGTTGATTAATGTGATCACCTTTAAGAGATGGCATCCTAGAGGTAAGGGAATCAAATCCAAGCACTTGCAACCCCTTCCCTATTCCCAGGCTATAACTTCCTTAAAAATTTATGGCTATTCATCTAAGGGAAATAAGAAAAGGCCAACAGCAGCCTTCACATCCAAATAATATCTTCCCCTCATAACACCTCGCTGGTAGCAAATATGGATGAGAAGAGAATAATATTTCACATTGTTTCTCAACAATGATGATAGGAATCACATAAAGGGGGGGCATGTTTGGAATTTTATTTTGAAAGTATGAATGAATACATGCACTGCAAAGCCATCTTCCCACAAGAATAGTGAGAGTAGCAAAACTATGAGGAACAAGCTAGGTTTTATCTAAATAAATTAAACCTCTCAGAAGAAAGAAATGTCTGCTTTTGGAATCCCATGAAGACAGAAAAAAATGACAGAGCAACATCTATGACTCCACAAATCTAGCCCTTAACAAGTATATATAGCCCTTCAACCCCAAACACCAAAATCACCAATTGCACTAAGAATCATTAGTTCAGCTACTACTAACACTTAACAACTTCTTTTCTTCCTGGCCCTTTATTTTCCAGGAGGTAAGCTTCTCCAATCTAGCTTGTTTTCTGCGCTTCAAATGTTTTTTCTTGGTTTGGAACTCAAGCCATCAGTAAAAGTCCTCGTCCTAGCCAACGTTGCATTAATTTCTGTTAGTAGAAGAACATTAGAATTTAATAAGTGCATGGTTATAGGAATATGCATTTTTCATTTTTGTGTCTTATATAGGACTATTAGCAACTAGCTGGACGTAGAATAAAATCGGGTCTGATTTTCTTTTTCTCATTTCCTGCTTCGTAAAATAGTTATCAGGATCAAAATGAGCTGGACAGGAGCAGATTGGATGTGTGCAGCGTGTCAACACCATAATTTTAAAAGGAGAGAATCATGCCAACGCTGCGGGTATCCCAAGTGCGGTGGCCCTGATGTATCAACCTACTTATACAACCGGACAGAAGTTTTGCCCGGAGACTGGTATTGTGCTGCCATGACCTGTGGAGCTCACAACTATGCTAGCAGAACAAACTGCCATCGATGTGGTACCATGAAAAATGATTATGGTGGTTATAGCTCAGGAGGGAGTGCGCCTCCTGGATGGAGAACTGGTGATTGGATGTGCACCAGGTGAGTTTGCGTTGACATTTTGCTCTGATCATGATGCCTTGACAATAAGAACAAGGACCATAACCTGTAGTAAAATTTCATGTTTGGAAGAGGGAAAAGGATGCAATATCAAGAATGTCATAAACAGAGACAATGCAGCTTATTTGTGGAATTTTATGCTCAAGAAGAACATTTTCTGAAATTTTCAAATACAATGACAGCAGATAAGAAATTCCCATCATAGTGCACATCTTCCAAAAACAAAATTTCTAAGAAATTATTCAGCGGAATTCTGGAATTCTACGGCAATATGAAGTTCTTTTTGCTTCTATTTGATAACCATTTTGTCACAAATACTTGAATAATAATGATATATAACATGGACGTTAATTGTCATTTATTCTTTATCCTTATCCTTCATCTGATATAACTCATCAACTCAATATGACTCATTTTGTTTGGACAGATATGGCTGTGGAGTTCACAATTATGCTAGCAGGGTGGAATGCTTCAAATGCAGGATACCAAGGGATTTCGGTAAGAAATCTTGATAGTTATTGCAGCATTGATCTTATCATAGCAAAGAAAATGAATAAATCCAACATAATCCACTGAAAAGCTATTCAGTCAAATTTCTGACATTTTTTTTTTCTTTTTGCTCTACTTTTCAGGTGGTGCTTAGGAATTTAGGAAGAGAATATATTCAATGTTACTAATTTAATCTCTCTTCATTTCTGATCCTTCCATCATCACTTTTGTTTAATTTGGAGTCAAATAACATTTAGGTTGGCCAAGAGTGAAGGCCTTTTTCCAAGCATAGCCATGGAATATTGCACTGATCGGCAGAAGGGTTTCTGGTTTTATTTTGTGGTGTATGATGTTCCTACGTACACCAGAAGCTTGAAACATCAAATCTGCAAAACTATATATAATAATTTATGATCCCTTTAAGCATTAAATTTATAGAACTATATATAATTATGAAGATAATATTGGATATTATATGGCCCATGTACCCATTATATAATTTAAATAAATATCTTTTATGTTATTTAAAATAGAATTATAGTTTAATAATTATTGTATGCTAAGAGACATGTTTTATTAGTAATTGCACACGGAAAGCCTGAATAAAAACCATTAAATAAAAAATTACTCCTTCCTTTATTTAGAAACTGATATGTTTCAAAAATGTTTTCTCAATTATACAAATCATTTGTGTTCTGATACTTGCGATGCTGCCATTTTTTCACTTTCCACTTTAACTTCCATTTGGAACCTAGTCAACATTATGGTGCTAAATCAAGGAGCATATTATGTTTATGTTTAATTGCTGTCCAAGATTCGCACATAATATTTTTATCTAGCGCGGTTCCTCGATTTCATGCAATTATATGCGATGGAAACCAAAGGAATCAACAGAAAAAATTTTCTAAAAGAAAAAAGAAACAGAATATTCAAAGAAACATGCAATATATTTAGCATACTTGATAACAAATAATTGAAGTAAAGCAACAATATAGTTTTCAGAACCAGTTAAATTCATTCTGATATTCCCTGCTGCCATACTTTTCAATACATGAGATCTTTTGCAGTGACCCTTTCAGAAATTATTTACTTGGAGATAAAATTATTGACAGCTTAGAATATTGGTGGATTCTTGATATCATATTGAAAAAGACAAATCTCAATTTATATGAGACAACACTTAGCAATAATGGGTTACGTTGAATGATTGAGCCAAGTGGAGATGATTCGTTTCTAATTTCCCAAACGAACATTCGAGGATTTGTTATATCATGAAAAATATATATATTTGCCTTTAAAAAAGGGCGATTTCACGTCTTAAAATTATCAGATTTGGAACTCCACTCCTCATTCTCATACGATCATATATATATATATATATATATATATATATATATATAGATATATATAAAATCTTTTATTTTCGAAACGTGCATGAAAGTGAATGGAAATTGCCGTTGTCCTCGTATTCAAGTCACAAGCTGTCCCTTTACAATCAAACTATACAATTGTTATTTTTAATGTAGAAATGAATAAAGGATTATCAATCCAAGATTTAATTAATTAATGTAATCATTTTAAAAAAGTGATATTTAATAAATATGAAATTCAAATTCTAACATGAAACTCCATATCACTATTATGACGTGATAAGCCATTTTTTGTTTGAACCTATTACTATTACAATAATTTTATGATCAAGCATCCTCTAAGTAATATATTGGAATCTGCTATACAGTTCTTTATTGGGAAAGACTTAGATAAAATTTTATAGGTGAAGTTCATAAAATTCTTAACTAAAAATGATTAAATAAAAATTAAAATTAAAAATAAAAATTGATAGATTGAAAGGTCTCGTTATATATATCAAGTGTGCAAAATTTAAAATTTTTTTAATAAATTTTAATATATATTTTTAGTTAGACATCTTTAATAAGAATGTTAACAGAATTTTTATCATTGAATAAATATCGATTAAATTTAAATTATATATAATTTTTTTTTACATACCGTTGATCTTCATATTAAACTTTATCAATCTATCAGTTAAGATTTTTTATTAAAATTTTTATTAAATTATTTTTAAGAAAGAATTTCATAAATTTCACCTAAAAACCTTTTTACAAGTTTTCTAGCTAGGTGTCACCAACTTTGCTTTCAACATAATGCATTGGAATGAATTATATATATACAATGGTTAATTCAACCTTTCTGATTGAGAAGGATTGATGCTTTTGAGCTCTCATCAATTGTGGTCTAGACCATTTGATCTGACAAATAAAATAACAATTGCTCAAGATCCTGCCAAACTTTTATAGCTCGCAACTTCAGTGAATTAGTCTCCGGCTTCAATGCTACATAAAACCTAATTTTATAATTTAATTAGGTTTTATCTAGCATTGGAACCAAAAGATTAATCTAATTAATTTATGTAATTATCTTTAAAAAATAATATACTTCCCTTATTCTTAAGTTATAAAAAAAAAAGATTTAATGACATACTAAATTCATTAAAATTAAGAATTATTACAAATTTTCTTGCTGGATAGTGGGGTTTAACTTTTTTTAAAACAAATGTCATATTGAACTCTAAGTTTAACCCAATCTTAAAAGGTTACATTTAACAAATTTAAATTTTAAATATTAATATTTGTAATTTTTCTCCTTATCTTAATGCTATATATATTTTTTGTTTTGTAAAAAAAATGTCATATTAAATTTTAAGATTAAATGTGATTTAATTATCTTGATTTAAAGATAATTTAATGATTTAAAGATAATTTAATGATTGAATGTGTTTGTTATGTAGACACCAACTTAGCAAATGTCAGCATAAAAATATACTATACATATATTATAAGTGCCAATTCAATTAAGATAAAGGATATTAAGAATAAATCTTTTTGCTTGAAGAGAGGTTGACTTTATCAAAAACTATAATTAAAAAATTTAATTGACTTGAATTTTTAATAAAAATTTTCAATTGGATGCAATAAAAATATATGATTATAAAAAATATATATATAGTTTACTTTCGTCTTGAAATGGCTGGTCATTATAGAAAAAGATCAAAATTATACTAAGCTATTCTCAATGAAAAATTAAATTCTCTTTCAATTTGTTCATTTTACTAACATTTATATATTCTTAAACATGAAAGACTATCAAATTAAGCCTTTTTGTTCACAAACACCATCATAAATATTATTGGATTTAAAAATAATTAAAAATATTTGGCAATAAAATCTAGAAAATAATAATTTAGCTTCTTCTCCCAATTAAAAAAGAGAGTGAGAGAGAGAGGAGCTATTGTTTTCTTTGGAGTGATTGATTACTATAAAAGTCCACAACGGCAAGGTTTTGGAGGTTTAGCCTTTGTTTTTTGGTTTGAGATTCCTACTTCTATCAGGATTAGGGTTTACAAGTTCTATTTGTTCCTGAATTAGGATTTTGTCTAAGGCGGCTAGGTTTTTCTTTGACCTTTCTTTCTCTCTATTCCATATAATGTTATTCTGCCTTCCTTTTTTTTCATCATAATACACTCCCACTACCTTGAAAAGTTCTTACAAATTTTCCCACTTCCTTTATTCAATTCCCATACTTTAGCTTTGAAAATTCTCAGCTTTTCTCTTTAAATTCGTTCTTTGATCCAAATCCTCATCTGGGTATTTTTTATTCTTTGCTGAGTATTGAGCATTAATCGTCTCCATTCTCAAGTTATTCAATTTTGATTTTTTTAATACTGGTAAGGTTTTCTGGCTTTTTTTTTTTTTTATCAGATACCCATCTCAGTGTTTTGATTGCTTTCTTTTTATAATCTGATTGTTATATTCATTTAATTCAATCTGGTTTTATTATTTTTGTTAGAAATAGTTTGGCTTTTTATACAATTATCGGTTACTTTGATTGTTATCTGATTCAATGTTTGTTGTCCTGTATCTTTATTAGGTTTAATCAGATAGCATTGATCCAATTCACTTTGGCAGTTGACTTCGGTAGATTAATTAAAAGTTAAAGTTTTGGGATATTGTTGGATTCGATTTTAAGCCTTTACTGATTATCATTATGAGTTATCCTGAATCTTGCTCTTCCTTTATGAGACAGCATCAATCAACTTATGCTGGCAGTGATGCCATTGGGATTTGGCCTGAATTTGCTATGAATGATGGGCAATTTGACCCACATTCAGAGGTTGAACAACAACAACAACCTCCCTTCAAAAGACCTAGACATTCTGACGATAGCCAATCGAATGTTGTGCGATGCACGCCCACAAATTTCAGGATGCCTTTAAATCCTGCAGTCAATAAGGGAACGAGTAATATTTTCTTTAAAACTCGTATGTGTTCGAAATTTAGATTGGGTACTTGTAGGAATGGTGAAGGTTGCAATTTTGCTCATGGCATTGAGGATCTGCGTCAGCCCCCTCCTAATTGGCAAGAACTTGTTGGTGGATGCGATGAAGAACGTACATCAGGGAATTGGGACGATGATCAGAAGATAATCCATCGGATGAAGCTCTGTAAGAAGTTTTATAATGGCGAGGAATGTCCATATGGGGACAGATGTAATTTTCTTCATGAAGCCCCATCAAAGTTCAGGGATGATATGGGGAGATTTAGGGAGAGTTCAGCTATTAGCATTGGCACAACAGGCCCATCTGCAGGGCATGGAACTGCATCTGATCATTCAGAAGGAAATAGGCCTTTAAACAACACTGATTCAGATGCTTTTCGAGGAAATATGAAGCCTATGTATCCTGTCTATTGGAAAACAAAGTTATGTATTAAGTGGGAGACAACAGGTCACTGCCCCTTCGGTGAGAAATGTCACTTTGCTCATGGGCAATCAGGTATATATCTTGTTAAGTTTTTTGTCCTACCTTGATTTATCTTATGATTTCTGCCATGCAACTTTCCAGTTTTGATTTAAGATAGATTTGAATTACATTATTTGGTATTTTCCACAGACGCCCTAAGAACTCATATTAGATACTACTAACCAAGTTTGGTGATTTCTTATTTATGCACTTACCAGTTTGCTATTCAATTTGAATTTTTTGTCAAGTCATCTTCATAGGCATTGGTTTTCTAAATTTGATTGTAAAAGAGATCTCATACCCTAAATGTGATATTGTTGACAGGATGCTTTAGATGTGAGTATGAAACAGAATTACATTGCTTTGTTTCATGGTGCTCCATATTTCACTTTCCTGTTAAGTTTTGATGCATATATGAATGAGATAAGCGGAGTATTGCTTTTATGCGTATATTTGTGAGTACATGATTGGTGCACTATTAGTCATGAGAACTTCTGACTAAATCAAATACAAGGAACATATATTCTAAATAGGATATTGCCGGCAAATCTTTGTCTAATCCTCTGCCTGTTTCTGTAATCAGAGTTGCAGGGGATAGGTGTACGTGTTGATGGGGACCTGGGGAATACAGGGCCTGGTTTGGCAAGAACTGCTTCCATTTCAACAAAAATTCACAACCTTCCTGCTGATGATCCACCTACGGTGACAGCTAGTGTCCGTTCTTTAAATGAAGAAGCACAAGCTAAGAAATGCTTGTTCAAATGGAAAGGACCGAGGAAAATCAATAGGATTTATGGCGATTGGCTCGATGATCTGCCATTGGTACACAATTTGCCCAGTCAGGTGGAGAGTTGAGTTCAAAACTTCAAATTCAAGTTTAATATCGGACCTGAAGATTTAAGATTATTCTTTTGAGTTCTGTTTTCGAGGTTTTGGCCTCCATTGAATCATTTAAAAAGTATGCAACTTCTTTTTCCTTTTCTTTATTTTATAAAAGAAATTATTTTCCTTTTCAAATTATTGTATCTCAGCTACAAGCTATGCTTGTTTTGTCTGGTCAAATAGGGTTTCTGTTTTCCTTCCTTTGTTACCCTTCTTTTAAGGGTTGAAAAATCAAATAATTGTGTTTAGATAATGTAAGTATCAAAATCAAAGCTAGAGTTTGAGTAAAGATATATCCAATCAATTATCTTTTTATTGCATTAATAATGGTTTCTTTTTAAGCACCTAGAAATTTGTTTGTCAAGGAAATATTCACCATCTTATATGTCTATTCGTTAAAAAAGTGGGTGAAAGTATCAAAGTAAATGACCAAGTAAAATCATAATTACCTAAAAATAAATAAATTAACAATTATATACCAATTCTATTATATATGGTCATGTTTAACCTTTAAGATGATAAGTAGGTTAATAAATATTTTATATTATATTTATTTGTATTTTTAAAAAATGATAAAATAAAATAATAATTATTTTATTTTAATTTTTGTACACATAAAAAATAACATAGAATAAAATTTTTTAATTTAATCATATTTATAATTTTACTTTATTTTATCTTATCATAATCTTGTGCACTAATTATACATTATAGATGCATTTGGTGCATAAGATTATAATAAGATAAGATAAAATGATATTATGAATAAAGTTAAATTAAATAATGTCATATTATCTTGTGTTTGATGTGTGGAAGGATTATGATATGATAATTTATTTATTAGTCAAAATTATCCTTTTTCAAAATTTATATAATTTAAATTATTAATATAATTTTTAAAAATATAATAAGATATATAAGTTCAATATTATGGATTAAAAATAAAAATCTCTACTTTGGAAGGATTAAATTATTTTATACTAAGAGGATGATTAATCCTTTTTATAATTTCATCCAATTATTTTAAATACAAATCAAATATAATATAGGATGATTATCATCCTATCATATTCATCATTTTATGTACCAAACATGGCTTAAAAATGTGTTTGGTACACAAAATTATAATAGAATATAATAAAATGATATTATGAATAAGATTAGACTCATTAATATTATTTTGTCTTATGTTTGATATGTACAAAGATTATAGTAAGATAATTTATTAATTAGTCAAAACTATTCTTCCTCAAAGTTTATACAATTTAAATTATTGATATAATTTTTAAGGATATAATAAAACATACATATTCAATCTTATGAATTAAAAATAATCCATTTCACTTTTAAAAAATTGAATCATCTTATATAAAAAAGATTATTAATTCTTTTTATAATCTTTTTTTTAGATACAAATCGAATATAATATAAAATAGTTATCATCTTATTTTATCTATTATCTTTTGTATTAAACATAACCTATAAGTATTGAATAATTAAGAGCTAATTGAGTATTAAATTATATGGCATGCATAAATTTTTAAAGTTTTGAAAAGATTTATTTGAAATGCTCTCATTAATTAAATTAAGTAAATAGAGATTGAAAATTAATCAAAAATAAATTAAAAAGTATTAAATGATTAAGATATTAAGTTATTTTTGATACATATGATGATAGATATAATAATAATATAATAATTTTATATTATATTTGATTTATATTTAATTAAAAAAATAAAATTACAAAAAAATTATTATTTATATTATATTTAATTTATATCTAATTAAAAAAATAAAATTATAAAAAAAATTATCATCATTTTAATACAAAAGAATTCAATCCTTTTAAAATAAAAAAATTAGTTTTAATTTATAAAATAAAATTTATATATTTTATTATATTTTAAAAAGTTATATCAATAATTTAAATTATATAAATTCTAAAAAATATTTTTAACTAATAAATAAATTATCTTCGATCTATAAACTCGAAAAATGTCTTATTTCTTTCCCACAAGATGACAAGAGCAAAGACTTGGAATTTCATGGCTGCACTGCCCCTGCCTGGCATTCTGGTAGCCGGTGATAAAAGGAGAGCCACAAGAAAATGAAAGGTTCTCAAACATGACACGTGTCATCACTCCAAGCTCCGTAGTCATTACCTACTACCTACCCTCTCTCTCCCTCAAAAATATCAGCCACCCAAATGCAACAAAGAGCAAGAGAAAGTACAGTGGGGACGACGATTTTACTCTCAAATTGGGCAGTAAATTCCATTTTTTACCATCACTCAAATTCTAGCAACGAGAAGTTGTGCAACAAAGGGACGAACGAGGATGAGTATAAATATTAAATTTTTGGTACGAAAATGAAAATAATAGGATTTTGAAATATTTAACAGCTATGAGATAAAAAAATATGTTTATTTATATGTTAAAAAATTTTAACATATTTATAAGTTAAATTCTGAAAATGATGAATTTCATTTGAATTTTTGTTTGTATTATTTTTTTGTGAATTTTTATAATTTAGATTTATATTTATTTTTTAATGTATATATTGTTTGTAAGTTTTTATTTATTTTAATGATTATTTTATTTGTTTTAATATGTACATATTATATTTAAATTTTTATTTATTTTAATAAATGTTAAATGATTATTTTTAATGATTTTAAAAAATCACATATAATTAAAATTATTCGTACTGGTTAAATGCTTATTAAATTTTCATGAACATAGAGATAAATATATGGATATGGAAATAAAAATATTAAAAAAAAGTTGACATTCGTAAAAGGGGAGCATGCTCTCTCTGTCTTTGCGCCTGACCTCTTCTTCATCCTCTCGTTTCCTGTTCCTCTCTAAAACCTTAACTCTAACAAAAAGAATAATTTTTTCTTCTTTAACCACTATGTCCATTAACCTTAATGCCCATGCATTTGCTGGCAACCCTTTAAGAGCCAAAACCCCTAAACCCCATGACCCACTTTCGCCTTCTTCAGCTTTTGAGTCCCTCAAAGCTCATTTCCTCCAAAACCCAGAAAACCACAACCACCCTCCTCCAAAGTCTCCTCTTTTCAAGGTCTTGCCTTTCCGAAAGGGCAGGCCTTTAGTTTCTTCTTTTGTTAATGGGGATGATGTTGTATCCAGTTGGCATCTGGGGTGGATCAGTTTGGCTGATTGTAATGGTATCTTGGGAAAGTGTGGGGTTCAGTTGACTGAGGGCTCTTTGGTTTATTTGGGTTCAGGGGCTGAGGAGGATGTTGTTTATTGGGCTATTGATGTTTCTGAGGTAGGTGGGTTGGTTCCTGAATTGGTTGGCAGACAGTTTTGCTTTGTGGAGCTTAGGACACTGATGGTGGCTACTGATTGGGCGGATTCCTTGGCTATGGGTGAATTGGCTATTGCTGGTCATGTAAGTAGGAAAAGTGATGATTTTGGATTCAAAATTGGATCAACTTTGCAATTTTAGTTTTTTTATTTTATGCCTTTGAATTTTAATTCTTTGTTAAAAAAAATATGCTTGAAATGAAAGATGCCATTGAAGTATTATCCAATTGGCATTGCTAAGTTTTGTCTACGTACTGTTGTTTTTCTGCATTTTCGCCGTTGGATTAAATATAAAAAGTTTTGTACTACTGTTAGTCACTTTTTGTATCTTTTATTTAGCAAGAGTTTTATTACTGCAAGCCTATTATATTTCATCAGGCACGAGCATTGCTTGAATGGCATAATCTATCACGATTTTGTGGACATTGTGGAGAGAAAACAGTCCCCAAGGAAGCTGGTAGAAGGAAACAATGCTCCAATGAGTTATGCAAAAAGAGGATTTACCCTCGTATTGATCCAGTAAAACATTTATCTTATATGCTAAATTGATGTTTGAGCTTTGAAATTTTAACCAGTGGATATGTAGGGTGTCTCTTTGCTCTCTCTAACTAATATTTCTTGACAATAGGTTGTCATTATGTGGGTTATTGATAGAGAACATGATCGTGCACTTTTAAGTAGACAGTCCAGATTTGTACCTCGTATGTGGAGTTGCTTAGCTGGATTCATGGAGGTAACTGTCTTAGGCAACTTCAAACTTTCATCAAGTTTTATCTGTTATTTGCAAGATTAGAGAATATCTTAAATATGAGAAGGGAAGCAATCTCACCTTTATTCTCAATATCCTGGTCAAAAAAGAAAAGAAAAAGATGTTTATTTCTGCAATTTTGTTGTTGATATCTTCTTTTATCCTTAGCCAGGGGAAAGCTTAGAAGAAGCAGTGAGGAGAGAAACATATGAAGAGACTGGTATTGAAGTTGGAGAAGTTGTCTATAATAGTTCTCGGCCATGGCCTGTTATCATTTTTCAACTTTGTTTGGATGCATAAAATGTTCTTTTTTTTTTATTCTGTTGTCATGTGGTTTATATTTGATTTGTTTTTCTTTTTAAACTCTGAAGGGAGATATAATAATACTTAATAGCAAACCATTTATATGCTGATGGTAGTTTATGCTCCAGTTATCGTGCTGGACATTACTACTCCTAATGGTTAGTTAATATTCTGTATTATCTTTTCTTTTCTTTTCATTTCTTTTTAAACTGTGTGCTGCTCTAGGTCTTGATGTTTGTGCTCTCCTTCCTTTCACGTTTCTCTTTCATATTTCTAGCATTCCAATAACCTTGCTCGTTTACTCAACTCACTTCTGGCCTATCATTTGGATTTTGGAAAGTAGAAACAGAAAATCTGGTCTGAAAATGGTCTTTTAAAATTTTCTATTTTGTAATTTCTATCCAGTAGCAGTTTTGTTTTCATAAAAGTCTAAAACCTTGTATTATTTGCCCTTTTTAGTTTCTTGGAGCATGTCTGCAGTCGGCATAATGTTTAATAATCTGATCTGTTTTCAGTTGGTCCGAGTAGCATACCATGCCAATTAATGGTCGGGTTCTTTGCGTATGCAAAATCTCTTGAAATAAATGTGGATAAGGAAGAATTAGAAGGTACTTGAACATGCTGAAATTTAATGTCATTTACAATTTTGTTTTCTGGGTTGCTTTATTCTTTTAGAACATAATTTTTAGTCCTTTTGCTATGCAATTCTTCTGTTATTTTTCTTCACACCTGGAAAGCTAAGTAATCAATACACCTGTGCTGTACAAACCATGCTTAATCCATTGAGATAATAGTTTTCAGTCCTTTTGCAATGTAATTCTTCCGTTCTTCCTAGAAAACTAAGTAGTCAGCACACCTGTGTTGTCTAAACCTGGCTCAATCCATACTTATGAGATTGGTGATGTTCCATTGCATTTTATTTAAATACTGGTCAATGCTGTTTAGACTTTGGCCATCCTGAGTCCTGATTGTGACTGTAGTGAAGCAGTGTTTTTTTAGTGCTGTTAATGGTTTTTCAATGGGGTTCTGTTGAAAAAAACTCTCTTAATGGCTAACATGTTTGACATATTGAGACACAGTTTGAAAGTTTAATTTAATTCTAGAGGAACCAACTTGATGCTGCAGCATATTCAGGACTCATTATCAACGACACAGATTTCAATAATTTGCAATAGTTATGTGGATTTGATGACAGATTTTAAGGAAGGCTTTTGCTCTGTTGGATGATGTGGTGCAGAAACTCTTGAAAAGCAATAGAGTCTCTGCATTTTGAAATAGAATGATAGAAAATACAAGTTCAGGAAGAAATGGGTACACACACACACACGGGCAGTGCACGTTCTTGCACATATTTATTTTAGAAGCCCCAGTAGCAATCTCTGCCTAGAGCATGCAAGGTGAAAATTGTTTTCCAGCATTTTGCTCTTCTACTTATTTGATTGGGTTTAAAATAGTAATAATGTTGAAATTTTTTGTTTGTCTTGACGCTCAGTGGCACAGTAGAGAAGATGTGAGGAAGGCATTGGCATTTGCTGAATACAAGAAAGCACAAAGAACAGCTGCAGATAAAGTATATCAAATGTGCAAGGGAGTTGAGAAGGGACAGAGTTTATCTGCAGATTTTAATGTGGTAAGTGGGGAACTTGCTTCCACGTTTATTCCTGGGCCATTTGCAATTGCCCATCACCTCATCTCTACCTGGGCTAATCAACATCCACCAACCGGTGTTGAAGCTCAATTGAAACAGCTCAGCAGTTCCATTTCAAATCTATAGCGTTCTCATTCTCTTCCAAAGGCTACAGAAAATCCTTTGTGCTTGTTCCAATGCCTCATCAAAGGGAGAGTTTGTCCTTTTTTCTTTCCAAGAATTATCCGAAACAGTAGAAAATCTGCCATCTTATATTAGAAAGATATCAATAATATTTCAAAAGGAATGAAAGCAGTTCCCCTTTTTATTTAGGATATTACTTTCAGTAAAATTCGCCACTTTTTTGTGTAATCAACATTCAGATTCAATACTCAAGTTTTAACGTGGATTCATTAATCATGCACTTTCTAGCTTTCAAATCTCATTCTTGTTTCCTCAGTTTATCACCATTCAAAAAACGTACCGTGTGAATGACTGGAAAAAAGTGATTTTAGGATCACTAGTAATTAATGCTTCTTGAAGTTTGCTTATTGTTTATTTGCTTGGGTGTAATGTTGTTTTCTCATGCATTCATAGCAAGGCATCACGGAGTGCAGCCAGAAAATTGGGAATTGAGAAAGGAGACTTGATCTAGGCATCTTTTGTTAATCTTCAAATTCGAAACAGGGCAGTTAAATTTTTATCTAATTGAACCCTGATTAGGCGAAAATGGATGTTGATAATTAATCAATTTTTATTTAATAAAAACTCAATTGATAAAATAAATGTTAAGGGTTTAATTTATTACAATACAACCACAAGAGCTTGGATGATATTTAATTTTATTTCAAGGGCTTATTTCTTCATAATTATGCCTGTAAACAAGAGGGAAAACTTCTGACAGAAAATACCCCAACAAGAGAGCAAGAGTTTTCACACGTTTTGGCAGTGTGGTGCCGAGTGTTGTTCAAGTTTTCTTATGTACCTTCTTAACAGATTTAGCCCATTTTATAGTTGACCTGGCTAAAGCATCCATCGGGTCGATACATTTTTTCAGGAGAGGGTCCTCTCGAGGTAAAAGATTCTGAAGTTCATCAGAAGCGAGGATGACTACATTCACAGCCCTAATTAAAAGGACCTGGATTGCAATTCTTAAGAGGTTCCGAGCCCCTTCCATGTCCCTTTTGTTCAATGATTCAATTGCTGGAATTAGAATGTGTTCCATGGTTGCCTTGTCCAGCAAAACAACCTCAAAGCCCTGCAAATTGAAGTGTTAGCCCGTTAGGAGAAAATAATTGTACTTCGGTATTAACATAGTGAAAATTCTTCCAAGTGGTATTTTTTTTGAATGATGTATGGACAATGTAGAAATATGGAACTGGAGCATAACTCAGTTAATTAGTTTAGTTCCTCTTAAGGTGGTATTTAGTGGGACTAAAGTTCAAATCTTATCACCTGTAACCCCTTTCTTTATTCTCAAGTCGTGGTCTCCTACATAAAAAAATATATATGGAAAAAGACAGCAGAAAAATAAAACAAATTCAAAAGAAAGATGTGATGCTTGAGAAGCTAAACTATGGTCCATTAGGTATTCTGGATCTATAAATGGATACTTGAGTATCTTGATAGAAAGGCCAATGAGGAAGCAGACAGAACGCTTTTTTCATGACTTTTGTCTTCAATTAGTTGTTTCATAAGAGGCTCTACAACCAAATCAAATCAAGGAAAAGGTTTTTGATGACTGGTGAATGAGCCCTTATCATCTGTCAGCTGAGGATATAGTTGGATTTCCTCAGATAATATGAATAGACACTTGCTCTAAGAGATTAACTGCACTGCCACACCACCAAAAACCTGTTCCTGCTATAGTTCTTTATATTTTATGGCCAAAAACTCCTATGAAGGCAGAACTGTGGATTGAAATCACACCCAGGCCAATGTATCATGATCCACAATCCCAAAACCCTGGGAAGGCAAAAGTGCACCAATCTTTCAAGTGGAAGAAATAAGGCAGAACACATAAAGAATTGAAAATGTCTGTGTCAAATGTTGGACCACAGTAACTCAAAATTGAATGAGTTGCTTCTCCTCAACAGATCTAACAAGTTGAATGTGGTGCACATGAAAACTTATCTGCTCCTCCTATTGCAAGTGTTTGGGCCTCCAATTTAGCTCTCTTTTATCATACAACATATATCAGCCTAATAATTTAATTTTAAACAAGCAACTCATTAAGAAATACTATTTGGGAGGCCAGACCAGCACAAAAATCTGATCCAGAATCAGATAGTATAGTCAAGGTGCAATGGTCAAACTCAAATAAGCTTTTTTTTTTTTTTTTGTTCAAAGGCTGTAGCCTGGACTAAGGAAAGAGAAGTTTCAAGTGTTGAGATTTAAACTCCAAACTACTATATGTCAAGGATGGCAATATGAAACAATTGAGCTAAACTTCGGATTCAAATAAGCTAAATTTTTATGATGAGACAAGAAGTATTATAAACATAAGGGCAAGAGTTAGGAATTAGGATACCTGCTTCCTTAGTTTTTCCTGATAAGAATCAGCAGCTATAGTTTCACAGGTGGATAGCACCCCAATCCGCACATTACTCCCAGCATCCAGTGGCTTCAGTTTTGCTTCCCTAAGCTCCCCGGCAACACATTCACCAACATGAAAAAATGGCAGTGAGCAGCCCTGAGATATCTCATCATGCCATGCGTTTGAGATATGGCACAGCATAACTATGCAGCGAGCTCCAGATTGCTCAAGAAATATTCTTTTATGCCTCAAATTCTCGATGATAGGTTCATGATTTACTTCCTTTTGAGCAATTTCACCAAGAGACGAATGAATTGAAACTTGAGAGATAAGCCAACCGTCCAAGGCTGGATCACTGCAGACAACAAAAGGAATACATTCTTCTCCATTTCTTGAGCTCCACCATACAAGCTTCTCCAGGAAAATAAGCGTGGACAAAACTGAAACCCCTCCAATAATACCTACAGTATTTGCTTGATTAAGCAGGGAATTCTGAGCTTGGCATTTAAACAGCGCTGAGCATGAACCTGTTATCTTTTGGAATTTAGGTAGATTTCCACTCTCACCGGTTTGTAGAAGATTACAAGACATTTGTACCGAAAAAGAAGGATTCGGTCTTGTTCTAAACTGAGTTCTGTTTTTACTTAAATTACCGAGAACTGGCGGGTAGTTTACACTATGGAAAGACATAGTCATGCCTCCATCAAACATATTCATGGTTCCATCAAACATCACTAATTGCTAAATGCTTTTAGAAGCTAAAACAGTTCAAACCAGTGAAAATCACTGTCTTTAAAAGCTCTGAGAATCTCCAAGGAAAATGGTTTATTTCAGCACCAAAATCCTTGTGTCTCCTGCTCCAGCCCAAAATCTGACCCCAAAACATATAGAATTTTCATGCCTTTCAGAGCGGAACCCTGATAAGGAACCTTGAGATGACTCTCTTCACTGCAGATACCAAGCTCAAAACCCTGATGGAGAAGCTCACTGTTGAATCACTGTGAACCGTAGTGCGACTACAAAACCACACCGACATATGTTAAAAGGAAATTTCCTTACGTTTTTGACAGCAAAGAGGAGGCGATAATCAACAATCAGAGTTTTATTTAATGTCTGTAAAAGGCAGAAGGCACATGGGGACAATGAAACTTAATTCTGCAGGGCTTTTTTTTATAACTAAAAGTCCAACGCTCTATTAAGAGATCACGAGGCTGTTGCCAGGGGCTTTTATATCTGCATCTATTTCAATGAATGAACAATCATATAATGATGGAAAGGAATCGTTATAATTGACACCCTCTTACCACATGCCATTGCATCATTGTCTACCGTTCAAAGCATTAGATAACATTAATAATTCAAGGAATGATATTACAAATCCACAAAAAGACAAACATCTATTACCTTTGGCCTAAATTCTTTTTGGGATTATCCTTTCCTCACAAATCTGACAATGATGGCTGCAAATTGCCGGGCTCAGCTGTCAGAGGGAAAGATCTCAACTATGGTACTCAGCAAATATACTGCTGCGAAACATTTTTGCGAGATGAATGCAGTTTACCGATAGATGAAACAACAATTCTAACTGGGTTCATTTTCAACTTGAGGTTGAGGGAACTATTTTTGTTTTTTCTCTTTTTGAGGGTTTTATGGTGATGGGTTTTGCTGCATGAGATTCACATCAATTCCTTCATTGAACAAACAGACAAGATTGACACCTTCGTCAATTGATAGATGAACTATCCAAAAATGGCGCATGACAAAGAGCTTTTGTCTTCAATTTGCGCAAGTGGTTCCATAACGTGTTTCTTTCTTGGACAACCTGAGAGACACATGATTCAGTAGAACCATGCCACGCAGACACAAGTGCCAGCATATGATTTCAGAAGAGACGCAAGTTCAAATGTCATTCTCAAACTATCTTCACTACACCATCAATAAGCTTCTTTCCTCTACGACATCTATATCAGATAAAACTCATGAATGATGATTGTGTAAATGTTGCTGCCCACCAGACGTTAGGCCTAATTTTATTATGATTTTTTTTAATGCCATTCGTAGAACTCCAAATAAGTATCAAGATTCAAGACGAAATTGTTTCATTTGTTATTTTTACAAAATAAGTCGGGGCCGAGAATAAAAATGGATTATAAATGTTAAATTTAATTATTTATTGAATATTATCTTTTAAAAATGATTTATTATATGAATCAACTGAACTAATTTAGTTCAATCAATTAAAGTGTTACTTAATCATTTTAATATTAAAATTCAGAATGAAAAAATCTAAACCTCAGTATTAAATAAATCACATGCTTTCTGGTATTTAAATCAAAATCATTAATTAGCATGTTGCATAAACCATTTTAATTTTTAACCAAAACCCAAGCTTTCAAGGATTTCTATGAAGATCATCATGCTCTTAGATGAGATGTTTCTTCAACCATTTTAATAAGAGCACTAGTAGAATAAATATGTTCCGCTTTCAGTCAAAAGTTACCTATTCTTGCAAGTCCATTGAGCTTCAGATGAACTGAGCCCCTCTTATAATTTATAATCATTTCCTCTGTTTATTGACTTGGTTCTCTTAAATGCTTCTAATTGATAGTAAATTTTCTTCCACAAAAATGATGGTTCATGATCATTATATTTTCATTTGGCCTATAACAGCAAAGTCTTGTGTGCCATATGCCTCTGCTGAATTTTGTAATATTCATAAATATTGTTTTCTTAAGATGTTAATCTTATTCAAATTTATTAAAAACTCGATTTTTTATGCTAATAGAGATAGAAATGAAAATGAGTATGATTTTAAATTTTTTATAGGGTATGAATATATGAATGGATAACATAACACTTTTTCCTTACTCATTATATATATATATTATATATTTATAAATTAATTTTTTATTTAATAATATAAATTTTATTTTAAATTTATTAAAATTAATATATTTGTATTTAAAAATATATATTTATAAAAAATTATATAAATGTGTAAAATAAAAAAAATTATTATTTTTAAAAATTAAAAGTACGAGAATTATTTATATCCATTAAATGCTCACAAAAATAAAAATATGAATAAATTTAAAATATATATATATATAAATATAAAAATAGATATAATATAAAAAATAAAAAATGCTCCATTCAACTAATATTTTACCTATTAACATCCCGATCATTTTGTTGCAGGTAACATCAACGTGGATTTGATTGAAAAATCTGCACAAGCTTCTCTCCAATAAATTTAACCGTTCTCATCAAAGAAGTGATTCATCCCTAATAATTGCTTCCTGAAACTATATTATTAGTAAAGCACAGGACAGTTAATTGCAATTAAATATGGTAATTTGTATGTATTTATTTATTTTATATTTAATACATAAAATTATAAAATTATTATATTATAATTAATATAGAAAAATTAAATACAAAATATATTTTTTAGTATTCACTAAACCCATAATACTATATATAATTTTTATTAAAATTTTAAATCATATTATTTTTTTATCGTCTTTTTCGATCATGATATCATGCGGTGTCATTGTGATATCATGTTTGAAAATATTGCCCACCTGATATCCCAATTACGACAAAGGAGCTCAACCAGGAAACAGGGTATTCGCGGTCTTATCCTTGAATGCTTTCAGAAACTTTGCCAACGACATCAACTTTAATTCATTACCATGGAGCTTGCCCTTGTATCTTGTACAGAGTTTTTCATGAATACTCAAATTCTAATTCCGTCCATTTCTCTTTTAAGAAGCACATTAAAAAATTGCTTTTTTCTACATATAACAGCAATGGCCAACTAGTTCAAATACTAACTTAAGACTTTGTCAACGACTCTGTTTTATCTTTTATGTTGGATACCAAGTATGGGCGTGTTGAGCATAAGAAATTTCCTTCTCTTTTTCCTTGCTTTTCGTATTGTGCAAAAGCTCAAGAGTTCAAGCATTGGCGGTTGCCTATGACGATACAGCTTAAATTTTTTCTCGTTTCGGTCATGGGCGTTTGGATTTGTGAAGCCCAAGTACGAAAGTAATCCTATTGCAAATCCATGGTCCTGTTATGTTGACCTGGTCTTGTTTCAATGATGACTCTGTCTACTAAAGCTTAGTGACAAAATAACAGCAAAAAACACATAAACATAAAACATCAAGATAAGACGAAGGAGCAAAGAAATTTGTGAGATTAATCAAATTTTAGGTATCAGTCCATTTATTCCAAACCTTGATATTTTTAATTTTTTTAGTATATTTTAAAATTTTTTATAATTAAACTTAAAAATCTAATATTTTATCAATAAATCAAGGGTTTTTTTTATTGATATTTTTAATTTTAATATTTTCAATCATTTTTCTTCTTAACTCAATATTTGGTTATGTTATGCCATTTAATAACTTGTTAGTACACAAAACACAAACCGAAATCAGGATTTTTGTTAACAAAACATTGTAATTAAAATATTTGGAAAGCTTTGTTATTATTTTTTTAATGTATATTTTTTAGCCGCCGGCCATTAGTTTTTCAATTTTTAGACCATGGACTGAAACAGTTTTCTGGTCAAAATCTCTGATTCGGTGATTAAAAAGTTAGCCAAAATTAAGTTTCCAAAATCCCATTCTTACCCATTTAGATACCATTTTACGAACTTTCCTCCCATTCCTTGTCATTTGCCATTTTTCCTCTCTTCCCTCTCTTTTATATATACTTGTAACATATTGAAAAAGTCGTATTACTTCACATAGCTTTGGACTTGACGTTCTCAAGCTTCTACCCAATAAAAAGCTCAAGAAAACCACATCCAAAATTTAATTCCATCGAAACAAGAAGAAGATTCGAAGAAGGAAAGGAGAGATGGAGATGAGTGGTTTGCAAAGGTCAACAACTTCGTTTAGGAGACAAGGGTCGTCAGGGTTAGTATGGGACGACAAGTTTTTATCGGGAGACTTGAACCAAATGAAGCTTAACAATCAAGAAAACAAAGGTAACCGAGGATCAGATGGTATGATGAGACGCAGCCGATCGGACGGAGGCGATATAAATATGTACCAGACGGTGAAGGCGGCGTCACCAAGCGTGGACCCTCCTTCTCCTAAGGTCTCCGGTTGTGGGTTTTGTGGAGTTTTTGGCAGATCGGACGCAGCCAAGAAAAGAAGATCAAACAAACGTAAGTCGTGATCACATAGGGCATTCCAATTCCAATTATGTGTGATTTTTTTTTTTATTTTTCTCTTTTGGGGGGTGTTAAAGTTACACACTTGCAGAATTCCAGCTGAAATATATCTAACGAAAAAGGAAAAAAATGGTGTATGGGAGCACTAGCCTTAAACTTACGTGTTTGGCTTGTTTTCAACAGCTTATATTTCATGGGATTTTGTCATATATAGAGATGGTTATTCTTTTATTCAGAGCTTTGTGTTGATTGTATAGTTTTTGTCTTAAAGTTTATGCGTTACACATTTCAATGCACCAAAAGAAAGTTTTAATTTCTCAATTAATCTATCTCTTTGAAAATCACTCCCATACCGATGCTTTATGAATTTAAAATCACCTTATATGTCCTTATGATTTTGGTGATGGTTGCGTTTGTAGCCAGGGTTTTATTTTATAGTTGGTAAGGCAGCCGACTTTTAAATTTTTTGTTGGCGAATGGTCTTATAGTTTTTAACGCCAATGCTCATCACAGAGAAGATTTTAATAAGATGCCCACTATCTGTCCTATCTATGACCTAAAAAAGTTCCAAAAAAACATATGTACTCTTATAAAATTAACAACTGTTCTTAAAAAAAGTTAATGTTACTCTCTTTAAGCTTACAAAATCTATAGAAGAGGCGGCGTAAAAACATACAGGAAGAAATTAAGATTAATGGCTTTGTTAGTTGTATATGTCAGTGCATGCGGCTTTCTTACGGATTCTGTAAGGAATGATTTAATATTAAGACCATCAATATTGTGGACCGACTGCCACTTTATTAATCCCTTTTTTTTTTTTCTGATGTTTAGATCAGGTATTTGTAGGGTATATGAAGATTTAATGCTAATTATTAAGAGACTATAATATTTTATATTGGAAGCAATAGTTTTATGGATGACAACGGATCAGATCGAAACGGATTTTTATTTGTTTCGAACCTAACTTAATTATATACATATAATACTCAAATTCGATCCTACATGATATTATATAAAATCATATCTAACTCAATTTGATTCGAAATTAATAAAATATTATTTTTTAAATATAAATATAAATTAAATATAATTAATTATTTAATTAAAAAATAATTATATATATCTACTTAAAAATATGACTTTGACCTGACCTTGATCTTTTTAATTCTATCACTCAACTCGATTCAATTAAATACTCAATTTTCAAAAAAAAATTAATTTTAAAAAATCAAATCAAATTAAAATCTATTAGATATGGGTTAAATTATTTTTCTTAACTGACAAAAAAAAACACACTTCAAATCTAGAAATTAATATAGCATTCCTTGCAGTGTAAGCTACTTTGAGTTTTTTTTTTTTTTTCCTTTCACTCAAATATTTATTTAAGTGTAAAAACGCATTTTGAAATCTTAATTTTGATCTTTTTTTATAATTTTACAAGTCCAACGCAATTTTCATTCAAGTTGAGTATATATTTTATCTCATTAATCCAAAAAATACATTAACAATATATATAATAATTATATACATCAATCTTTTCGTATCGTAGAATATAATATACATTCACACCAAAACACATTTTTATTAAACACAGAAGACTTTTTCCATCATTGCAATAATTTTCATACCTAAAATGTGAAAATTTTTCTAAATGCAAGTTTTCAAAAAGAAGCTAAGTTCCGTATTTCAGTGCATAACGTATAATTAGAGGACGGAAAGACCAAGAAGAAAAGGACCAAAATTCAGACCCTCATTGCCCTTGCAGTAATGTCAAGGACAAATTAATCCGGCCACTAAAAACATAGCTATCACACAATCCATATACAGCGGCCATAGAGAGAGCAAAGGGGTCAAGTCTGGCTGCCAATCATGCTCTTGCTTTTCTCATGCCTTGACTGACCGACCTAGACTCCAATTTTCACTTTAGCCCTCTTTCAGAATCAGAAAAAAGTCCGGGGGAACAGAAACAAGTGGGGGAAATTAAACAATGAAAAACTATGGCCTGTCTTTTTTATTACAAGATTTATTATCTAGATTTAGCCCTTGGTTGATGATTGAACATCAAAAATCTTTCCGATATAAATATTATATACATCTTTATTATTATGTATACAAATTTTCATAGTCTTGGAATAGATTGGAAGCGTTGAATTAACAGATAATGAATCATCATTAATGTGGCATAATTAAGTTATATTCTTTCTACAGGTAATCTGATAAAGTTAATTGATTTTTTTTTTTTTATATAAAAAACATCATAATCTAAAGATAGAAAAATAATTTGCTGAGTTTTGGATTGTCAATTAAATTAAGTTAATTGACTTTAATCATGGCTATTTATTTAAACTCATTAATAATGCATGTGAGAATTCATATAAATCTAACCCTTTGTTACAGTATTTTTATCATTTACAATCTTCATGTAGAGAAAATACAAATTACCATGATGGGAAAATAAATGTGTAAGAACCAGAGAAAAAAAGCAGGGTTCTGTATTTGATTTCTATTGAATTTAATTTGCAGCCATCTGAACTTTTTTTTTAAATACTAAACTGTACAGTTTCTCCATTGAAAAATAAAGAAACCAACCTATTGAGTGTGTAACAAATGAGCCGAATTTTGAGCCCAAATGCAATGTCAGGCCGGTCCATAAACTATATCAAACTCCTGTATATGCAAAAAATTTTCAACCTTGAAACAAATATATTGGACAGAGAATGTTATTCAGATAAATTTTTTATGATACTTTCATATGTAATTAAGAAAGGGTTAAAGTATTACTAATTAAGAAGTCCAAGACTTTAAGGATGACACTAGCATATATAGTTCCAGTAGATTACCAAACTAAATATGGTCTTTGTAATTAAATGATGCTTTTCAAAAAATAGGGAAAAATTCACATGATTATGGTCTAATATCTTTGCAGCTGCTTATAGTTACCGCTTGTAGAAATTTCAAATAGAGATGTTAGCATGAAATTTCAAATATCGCATGAATTGCCAGGACAATGTTACATAAATAGAGTTATTAATTTTATTCATATCCAATAAAAAATTTAATTTTTTCTCTCAATGGAAATATAAATTGATATTACATTGTAGATATAAGGATGAAAATAAGAATAAATATGATTTTAATTTTTTTTGGGTACACGAATGGGACAAGTAATATAGCATCCATTCTATATCTGTACCTTATATATATTTATATATTTAGTAAATATATTTTTATTAAATAATATAAATTATTATTTTAAATTAATTAGAATTAATATATTTTTTAATATATTAATATATATTTATATAAATTTACTTAAATATAAAAATACAAAAATAAAATTTAGTTTTTATTTTTTATTTTTTTTAAAGTTATAAGTATAGAGATTACTCATATTTATTAAATATAGAGATAAAAATTAATTTAAAATATCTATTAGATATGAGTACGAATATAATATAATATAAAAATCTGATAATGAAGATGGGAATGCTCTCTTTTCTCATGCTTTACTCATTGACATCGCTATATACAAATACAAATTGTACACATTTGTATTTATTTTTCTTTCAAGTTTTATTTTTTAATTTAATATTATGTAAATGTATAAAATTAGTGTAGTTATTATGTGTATATAATTTTTTTATCTAAAATTTTAGGTTCTAATTTCATGTATACAGCGTATCTTCCCCCCGAGATTCTTTGTCAAAAACAACGTTTTCTCAGACTGTCAGAATTGAATTGTATATCAAGATCAAAGCATCTTTATCATTGGTATCCAGTCAAACAACTTCGGGTAGAAGTGACTTTTGAATTGTTTTTTATAACTTTATAATATTTTCTGCTATAATATTTTTGTCTGGGAATGTAATTATACAGACAACAATAGGAGAGTTACTTGATTTTAACTTGCTGGTTACTAATTCGTTGTTTACGCTGGATAAATTTGGTGTGTTTAAGCTATTAAGTTTCCATTGATTAAAGCCAGAAAATTCAGGATGAAATAGTTCATTGATTTTACAACCTAACTATACTATATAAGTTGGCATGAAATATTTGTTTTTCGGGACTGAATATATGAGAAGGGATTGTAATGCTAAGATTTGAATCTTTGAATCTACATATACAGTATAATATAATACAGTGTACAAGAATTAACATCTTTTTTTTTTTTTTCTGTTATTGATCATCAGAAGTATTAAAATTAGCATAACAGCCAACATGTTCAATAGGACTTGAAACTAGGGAAAAATGTTCTCAGGTTGGTAATTAATCATCAATCTTAATTACCAGTTTCCCCATATCTATACACATATACAAGTACTAATATAGTTTCTCATCTCTAAGAGTACTCCAAGAAAGTCATTAAAATTTCACTGCTTGTTCAATCTTCTGATGTTGTTGTTGTTGCTGGTGCTGCATTTGTCGTATGTTGCAGTTGATCAGCGAGCACGACTGCATAGCATCTCGAGGCAGTGGAACCACAGGGAGGTTGTCACAGTTGCATACTTCAATCATGTTGCCATCAGGGTCATGAAAGAAAAGTTGATCAACGCGGATTCCACCATCCTCCACTCCACCCTTAACGTATTCCATCTTCATCTCCTTCAATCTCTTCTCCACTGTTGCCATGCACTCACACTGCCCACAAGAATTACATCAGTACATGTGCATTTACAGATCAAATGAAGTATCCAAGTCGAGATTGGTCGCTATTTGGTTTGCAAAACAAGTTTCCTCATTAAACGTTGAAATCTTCCAATATGGATAGATTAGCAATCCGTGACAAACCATTCCTGGAAAGAAATATGATTGTCCTAGGGATTAATTCGGCCAATCTCAGGCATGTCATCAAGGATTTCAGATTGGAGAAGATGGATGCCAATGCCCTAATTGAACAGCCTATCCTTGCCCAAATCAGAAAACTATGGATTAATATTTAATAAAATAGAAGTTAAAAAAGAAAAAACTTGAAAAGAAAGAAAGGGGGTTCTTTTTGTTCTCTATTTTATGTAGAAAGGCCAATTACCATGCCCCAGAGAAATCAAAAGAACCAGGTCTCTTGATGGGAAAGAACCCTAGAACATTCTGATAGAAGTCAAGAGACTTGTCAATTGATCTGCACACAAGTGAAACGTGATTTAAGCACTTCAGCTGCGGAGGATTCTCCATGCTTTTCTACCTTAATTCTTTGGCTCAGTTGAAACTGAAAAAACTTAAATAATTCAAGCAAAATTTCGGTATGCAACAGAGATTAATATTAAAGAGAGAAAGAGAAGAGTAAGTAATGAAAGTTAAAGAATTGTGGGAAACGAGTAAAACTGTGAAGATCAGATATCGCTCTACGATGCACCTATTTATAGAGAATACAAAAACGTTGTTTTCCATGAGTATGAGCTTTTTTTCTGAGACGTTTTTTTTAACCCCTTTTTTTCCATGTTCAGTTAAGACAACAGAAACGGGTAATATCTTACCATCGTACGATCAAACGTAGATTGTTTAATTGATTTGATGGGACAACTTTTTTGACCATGTAAAGACCATTCATGGATATAGCAAAACTGCACGAGCCCCAATTGGACCGATGTTTGTGATGAGACAAAATATTTTTGCAAGAAAAGCAATTGGTTTTTTACTTCCCATTAGTTGACT